TACGACCCTCTAAGGCGAGGGGAGCACTGCCTGAGACAGCATTACACAAGAAGTTTCTCGCAAATGCCACCTATACTTCCCGCTCGATGCCTCAGCAAGAGGGGATATCCTGGAGCCCGGACATCCAGGAATTTTTTGCAGTGTCGTGCCGGGGGCCTGATGATCAAGAAGGCTCCCGCAGAAGTCTCTGACCTGGCCGCATGATCCAGGAAGCATGAAGGTCGACCAGGGCTATCATACCGGCTGGACATAATGTCGACGAGTGAGGTAACACTGCATGACGAGCACCTGGTTTCTGAATCTAGCAAAGGTGTGCTCACAGAGGACCTACCTTAGATAGGACAGAAACACACAGGTCCCGGAAACACTGCAAAGAAATCTCATAGAAGGATTATACACACATAACCACCAGCACATTAAATACATATATATATATAGAATGGATCTTACTTTATCCAGGTCTTTCAGCAGATCAGCCTGATATGCCTGGAGCACCGCCATAGTGTGCAACGAAGCCACAGCCTGACCTGCTGCTGCGTATGCCCTGCCATTTAAGCGCGATGTATCCTGAAGGGGCTTAGATGGCAAGGAGGGAGTATTAAGGAAGGACGTCTCACCCATAGAGAGATAGCTAGCCAGCGTCTCTTCTACAGGGGGCATCCTCTCATAGCCGTTTTCACGCATCGCCTCGATGTTGGCATAACTCATATGCTGGAACCGATAGAGGCGTGAGGAAAACGGCCTCTTCCATTCCTTCTCGATCTCAGTATGCAAATCAGGAAGAAATGGAAGGCTCACCTGAGCTGGAGGGTTATGGCCAGAAAGAAAACGCTCATCGAGGCGACCTTAAACCACCATTGTCGCTCTTCAAATGCAATAAAATATAGTTGTATCAATTTTAATTATTATTATTATTGGATGATTGATTTTATTTCTCTAACACTTGTTCATCTTTTTTACGACATTTGAAATGGTCTATTATCTGACCTTCTGTTAGAGGAAACTGAAAAAAAATATTACATGAAAAATATTCATGACGTTGTTATAAAATACAGAGTATTAACACTTAATGACTTTTAAATGACAAATTAAATTTGTACCACTGTAGTTGAGGTCAAGAAAAATATCCATGACACTGTTATAAAATTATTTGAGAGTATTAACACTTAATGACATTTTAATGACAAATTCAATTTGTACCACTGAATAAAAGTGGTCAGAAAAACATTTGCGACACAATTATAATGGCCTCATGACAGCCAATGTCAAAACCAACCACATGACAGTTTAATGTAATGTTAACCCATAAAGCTAAGTAACTTCTTAAGTTTGATAATTAATCTGCTGTGTCATGTTTATGACAGGTTATGTTGTCTTGGTAATGTCAAGTTGTCATGACAAAGACATTACAAATGACATAACTGAGCGAATGACACTTAATGACAGTTGTCATAAACATGCATAAAACCGCCTTCATATTCATGACATGTGTCATGTCATGATTATGAAGGTGTCATGTCAGTCTTATGCACACCCCTTCAAGTAAAGTGTTATCGATTAATGTTAATGCTGAAGTCCTCCAATTACAATTTCAATATAATCAATAATTGAGATGCAAGATGGCACCAGCTGCATTTGTAACAACACAAAATAAAGTGAGTCTGCAGTGATACAGAAGACATGAAATTAGCGCCTGTTTTAGTTACCTGGATGAGCGGTCTGATACGTGGATGGGCTGTTGTTAACAAAATGTAGGAATATCACTCTGTTGGATGCCATAATTGACCAATAATAGTCAAGCATTCCAGATTGCTGTGTAATAAAATTCAATAATCTTATACCACATTTACCTCTATAATTATGGTAAAAACATCCATTGTGTAAAGATTTTAATATAATTAGTTAATGACTTTGTTGACTATTTATTTTGACCATGGTTTGGGCACTCACCTAAACAAGCCTCTTTAATTTCTGCCTTGTCTGTCCTCTGTATAATCTTCACCACAAATATCACAGCCAATGGGGTGAGGAATGAAATTGCCTGTAAAGAAAAAAGAACACAATGTCTCATTTTCACGCATCCTATTTCACACAAACCCAACATGATTGTGATTTTAAAAAAGCTGTTTTTCTATCCAAAGGCTGTTGGGCCTGACAAAAGCAAAGGCGTCTTCTGCCACTTCATTATGTGAATGTCTTTATATCTTGAGGTATGTTAAGGCTCCTACACATATGTTATCAACCTCCACACTCTCTATGGACACAAGATACTGCTTTCTTAAAATAAAACAGAATGCACAAAAAGTGTTTTAATTTTCACTTGAAATTCCCATTTATTTCAGTTTTGTCAAAACGGAATTCCAGGGTTTGAACAAAAAGTGACCTTTCAGCTTTTTGGCCTTTGAGAGATGTATTTTCAAAAGATTCTAAAGCTTTACTGTGACATTCATGGGACCATCCACAGAAAGTAATCCCTACAACGAGGGATACCAGCTTAAGGTGGTTAAAATGATTACTGGAACATGGTACTAATGGCGCTTTTCCACTGCATGGTACGGCTCGGTACGGTTCTGGAAAAGCGCCATTAGTTTACTCTTTGACCAAAGTAACCTCGGTGGTCTGTCTGGTGAAAATTCCCTAAAAATAAAAATGATCTGAAGGGAGAATATGAATTTTTTGAGCATTTGTTCAAATGATTGTTCGTTTTCCTTTCATCCTATTTCTTAACTTTTAGATAAATCCATGTCAAACTTTATTTAAAACAAACAAAAAAACGGTATTCATATTTTTTATTATTATTATTGGGCTTCTAACATAAGAGCCATACTTTACTGGAATGGATCTACAGTAATTAACTAGTGTGTGAGATTACATCTTAAAATATAGTTTGACTAAATGTACTCCGGTGTTTTTTTTGTTTGTTTCCTTCCCTTTTTCACTTGAAGATGTTCCAATGCCTCTGCAGGATCCTACAGACTTGCACCAAACCTTTACCCATTGCATTGAAGATCTCATTCACCATTTAGAAAAATATTACATAAAAGATAATAGTCATGAAGGTTGGTGTGCAATGTTTAATAATAAAATAAAATAAAGATGATGGGTTTTACTTATCCTGTATTTATCTACTGTATGTGTATATGATACACATTACATATACAGGTACATCTCAACAAATTAGAATATCACGAAAGAGGTCAATATTTTTTGTCACTCATTCAGAAAGTGAAACCCATATATTATATAGATTCATTACACATAGAGTGAAATATTTCAAGCCTTTATTTCTTGAAATTTTGATGATTATGGCTTACAGATAATGAAAACCAAAAATTCAGTGTCTCAGAAAATTAGAATATTACATAAGGTCAATAAAAAAAGGATATTTTAAACAGAAATGTCAGGCTTCTGAAAAGTATGTTCATTTCTATGCACTCAATACTTGGTTGGGCCTCCTTTTGCATGAATTACTGCATCAATGTGGCGTGGCATGGAGGCAATCAGCCTGTGGCACTGCTCAGGTGTAATGGAAGCCCAGGTTGCTTTAATAGCGGCCTTCGGGTCATCTGCATTGTTGGGTCTGGTGTCTCTCATCTTCCTCTTGACGATACCCCATAGATTCTCTATGGGGTTCAGGTCAGGGGAGTTTGCTGGCCAATCAAGCACAGTAACACCATGGTCACTGAACCAGCTTTTGGTACCTCTGGCAGTGAGGGCAAGATGTACCTGTATATACACATACACAGTTGCATGACACCTCTGTATAATGTGTGATGGAAATGTATTAGTGTGACATTTTAATATTTTAATAGTTACTCTTGTGTTATTTATTGTATTTTATAACAAAGGATAATGAAATACTTGATAATGACTTTTAATATACCTTTAAATTATACCAACATAAGTGGTTAGTAAGACACAGATAATGTAGTGATGACCAATAAGCAAAATAGGCGAGTTTGCTTATTTTTTTTATAATAATAATAATAATAATGATAAAATGTAATACAATGCGAGTCCAAATTACCAAACACTGTTAGAAAAAGGAATTAAATCCATACACACCCTCACTAGTGGTCATACTAAACACAACAAATTAGTGCAAAATAATGGAAAAGTGCATTTCTGAAGCTACTCATAAGTAGGAATATGAAAACAGTGTGGAAAATGGAAGATTACTTCATAATTAAAGATAGACAATCATGCAAAATTCATCTAAAATTTCCTTAAGAGAATACAACATTTTAGTGGTCAGATTTCTTTGTCTGTGCACCTATAAGCAATTATAACTATTAAAAATCTAAAACACACTGCAAAAAATGCTTTTCTAGCTTAGATTTTTTTGTCTTGTTTCCAGCCAAAACATCTAAAAATTCTTAAATCGAGAAGGATTTTCTAGACAAGTAAAAATTAAGTGAGTTTTTGCTTGAAACAAGCAAAATAATCTGCCAATGGGGTAAACAAAATAATCTTGTTTTCTGTTTGAAACAGGGGCGTAGATTACGCGGTAGATTACCCCCCCACTTTTAATAGCACGTTAATTCGTCCCCCCACACTTTTTCGGGCAAGTGTGTTCGCATAGAGGTCTTCAAGAGCCGGTGTGAATAAATATAGATTTAAATTCAAAGAGACAGGATAGTCTGTGCATGATCTGATGTTTTATTCGGACCCAGAATAAAGCGATATGAACATCACTGAGCGCTAAACACTCCGTGCAGTGTATGTTTCATTCATACTCATAGCCGGAGGGTGCTCTCGCGCAGAAAGTCGTATGAGGAAATTCCTAATATGGACAAAAGCGTCCAGCTATTGCTGTATGAA